ATTTAATAATTGATTGTCGTGATTTGGCATTTGACCGACCGTAAAAAATTGTTCAATTATAAAAGTCTCATATATTTATAACCATATTTACATTTTAGAAACTAAATACTGTGGTGATTTACTTGTTCTTAAAATATTATATATAGTTTTTTTAACAACTATCTTGGCGACGATTAAATATTACATGACACTAATCCGCCATTTCCCACTTAGTAAAGGATTTTCGCTATTCATTTTTCCAAAAACATGGAGGGTAAGGCACTTAGGATTTGGGTGTTTGTAGTATTTAATTTTTTAATGACGGAATTTATGAGATGACGGTTCTGTTTTTATGATTTGCATTCAAAGGCAGCAGTAAATTCTGATGACCAATACATTTATACCCTTTCCAATCGCGAATATACTTACAAAGGACATGTTGAATTGCTTACAACGACCAAACAGTTTAAAATATGGATTTATAAAATAAATAATATAATTGACCCAGATCGGGACAATACACTTGAATTTTGATATATTTCTTGAAAAAAATTTCATTTAAAAAATGATCGAAGTACATTACAATATTTACATATACATTGTGGTTAACTAATTTGTTATGTTTTATTACAGAAAAAGAAACAGAAGAAAGAAAAATAAGAAAGGAAGTGGACAAAACATTGTTTACACTTTAACCTTTGAAGTTTAATAAAGTTATTATTATATTATTAAGTTATTATATGCTGCATATTTTGTTAATGGGTAGTCAAAAATTGTTACACCCCAGAGACGAAATATATTATTTGAAAAAGTGTAGTAAGAGCAGAAAATTAAAAAAAGATTTCACGATAACAAAACAGCATGAAACTAAACGAGATTTTCAGGAAGAAAGATTTCAGGAAAACCTAAACGTTTACTCGTCTATCTATTATAAAATTATACCATTCTGCCAAAGGTTTTGATGTCTTCAGTGTAAGCGCATTATTATTTGTTCATTTAAGCAATATATTAAAAATTAGAACTACCGTTTTGCTTACTTTCTTCTCAAGGCGTGTAAACACTGAGTTTAAAATATTCAAGTTTTAACCTTTTCTTTACATTTCTCTTTGCTAAATGTAACCATTTTAAAACAATACAAAATACTTCTATTATTAGAACAATAACGTTGGATGATACCAATTTACGAGTCGTGCGAAAGTATTCCCATAACACAACTAGCATTATAATTTAAACACGTGTGCAATTGTTTTTAATAGATAATTATTTCAACGGCACTTATCATTCATTTAAACACATTATTTATAATTTAAAAATGAAATTTTCGAACGAACGAAATTCCGTATTAATGTGTACGTACAGTTTGCATGCAAACTTAGAAGTGGTGTGAACTAGTAAAGAGATGCAATGATGATTCACGAGCACGATGCAATGATGATTAACAAAAATTAAGCCAACAAAGAAGTAAGGTTGCGTTATAAATGTATTGATACATTACAGCCTGTATTGCAAATTACGCTGATCTAGAGTCGTACGGATGCAAATAAATATAATTGATTTAGATACTATTGTTTTCCCGACTTGAATATATTTAACATTAATATTCAATAGTTAGAGCAAAAAATATAACCGTTTCATCATTTAATAAATTATTATGATGCCTTTATGACATTTTTATGGTGGCTATTAGTAGAGGACAATGAAGAAAATTGTATTCTTGTTATTGGTAAATTACACCTACAAAAACCTGTCTGATTATCAACATAGTGATTCTATACTATTCTTGAATCAAAACAATTAACACCTGAATCGAAAAGGTTAGCAAGATTATAAATTGATAGTAATAAGAATAATTTTTAAACAGTACTTTTTAACAAATCATCTTGGTCACACTAGTTTTATTTTGTTAGTCTTCTATCACCTCAGTCTGCCATTCCTGCTCGCTTGCCATCTCCAATGCCAAAAATGTTGTTCTTTTTTTTTTTATTTTGCATGAAGGCGCGAAAAGGTTCTCTGCCGACAAATGGGAGACTTTCTGTTGCAAAATTCAGCTCTATTTTTCCATCCGTTGGAAGTTTTTAAACGATTTAGCACTAAGAAATGCAGTAATGAATTTTGTTTGAAATTACTCCTCAGATGTCCTACGATAACCGATAACGTTCTCCCAAATGTTTTCAGTAAGTGGGGGGAGATGGTCAAATTTGATGGATGGAATGCGTTTGGATGAGCTTGTCTAGACTCGAAATGTAATATATGAGCAAATTTGCACAATTAGTCCATGCGTTTTGATTTTTGAAAAACAGTTTAAAACTTACTCATAATGCTGAAAGAGACCAATAAATCTTTTATATTAGGAACTATGTAAATGGACGAAAACTTCAAAAGGCACACGTACATCTATTGTAAATTACGACAATACCAATTTAGCGGAAAGCCAATGAAGAAATCAATAAACTTAACAACTGGATTCATGTTTTTTCGGCCCATGTGGAACATAAAAAAAACTCATGCTAAGTTAAATAGGACTTTGATAAACAATGTATGGGACTGTATATTTCGCTTTTCGACCGTTTGAACCAACTTTATTTCATTTTAAGTTAAGATGATAATATCTTTTATTTGGTAGTGAAAAAAGTAATACAAATCAACGTCATATAATTGTTTTCGCGGTAAATGTACGAAAATAATCGTCTCGCCTTTGTATTTTTGATCTGTTAAAAACAATCGTACATGATTTTGTAGAAATTGATGAAATGGGTATTTTGTTGATTCTGGTTGAAATAAAAATACGATATTTTGATGGAAATTGCAGAATCAGTTGTTGATGGAGTTTTGTGGACTTATGAGAAGAAAATAACTCGTAGAGATAGATTATTTTTAATAATTTACTTGTTAGTGCATCAAATCGTCTTTTCATGCCATTATTTAAAAATTATTATATACGTATTATTTTAGAAATTAAGTTCCTTTTTAGATAATATTGGCCGATTCCCGATAAGTGTACAGATTCGTTGGAATTTACTAATCGAAAGAATAAGAAAGTTACTAATCTAAAAATAATAAATTGTATAAACTGAATACATAAAATCGATTAAATTTAACCGCATTTCTTGGAGAAATGCAAGTAACCAATTTTGTTTTTTATCGAAAATATTTATTTCTTGATTCATATCTTTGCAACTGTTTTGTTAATTGTTCATAAATTTTCGTATATGTTAAGTAAGAAAGTAAGAAAAAAATAAATTATTTAGCTTTAGGAAAATAAATCACGAAAAAGAAGATAAATAATAATTATTGAGCAATGCAATATTTTAGACTCACTGCGATCGTTAATTCACGATAAAGCTAATATAATAAGCAGTGTACTATCAAAAGATATATATTTCGAACTGCGACAGATTCAATTAATTCAATCGGTGTGGATCGGAATTTTACTATCTCGAACTTCAAAGAATTAACATACACATTCATTTAAAAAACAACTAAAATACATAAAACTGTTTAAAATATAATGTTTAACTCCCTGTATCATATGGTGTTTGATCAAATAAGAGTTATTAATATAAATATATTCAAGAAATAATAAACAAATATATTAAATAAATTTTGAACAAGTGAATCTTTAAATTACACGATTTCGTAATCTATTAAAATTTTGCAGTAAACGTAACAGCCGAAAAAAGTTCAAATAAATGAAATTAAAATAAAAAATAATAATAAAATAAATGCACCTTTCCAATAAATATTATTATCAATTAGCAAATGTATAAACATTATGGTATGATAGTTTTAGTCTGTGAATTATAGTTCAAAAGAGTGGCATTAAGCGCACATTTTAAAATATTTGTCCAAAATTAATTAATATTATGGTCAACGCTTATGTAAATTTAAAAGATCGTTTTTTTAGCACGCCATGAAAAACGGGACAATTTTCAACGGCTTTCGAAAGAAGTGAGAGTTCGAATTACAAATAAATCATATTAATCATAGATAAATCATATTAATCATATATCATATTAATCGAAAAAATATACTATAAATAGTTTTTATGTAATATTTTAGATTGATAAGGCTTGACTAATTTCAAATTTAATTTAATACAGACATGATGAGAAAATAAGTGTGTATTTTCTAATTAATAGTGTTTGTACAATTATTTGTTTTTATCTATCAAAACAACAGTTTACAAAAGAAGCAGGAAAGAAAACAAAGTAGACCAAGTTACGATCAAAATGTTACATACATATGCAGTCACCAGACTTTTGTTTTAGTTTCACGTTGAAATGATTCATTACTTTTGACATTTGAACATATTAAATATTAGGGAAATGGACATTGTGGAGAGAACGCGATATAAATGCACGTACGTCCTCGGATCCCACCGATGCTCGAGTGTTAAGATTTTTCCGGCCTAGTAGGCCAAGTCGGAAATCACCGAATTGCAGTTATTGATCCAAGAATGCGCCCTTAGGCGCAAGATTGCACCCGGAAACGGAATTTTTCTTGAGGCCGATTACAGGGAGGAAAACTTCTCTAAATCGATTTTCCCTTCAAATCGTGTGGCACAAGGCATAAACGAGTAGATGCCACATGGCCACGGCGTTCAGAACAACACTTCCTGAAACGGAGCATAATTGAATTGATGAAAAGTGGGTCCCTTCGTCTTCTATGAAAAGTCTGGAGAGCCTTTAATAATTTTACCGAATTCCCACCTACATAAGACATATTCGCACACGGAGAATTAACATTAGATTAACAATGTAAAATAAAAAAAGTTGATTAATAATTCAATGATCGGTGAGTAAATTAGTTGTTTATTTTAAAAAACCGTGTAAAAATTACATTTCAAAAGTTTTATTTTTTAGCAGTGCACATGTACTGAACATACACATTTTATATATATATATATATATATATATATATAAATAAAATAAGTAATTCTTACATAAGTAGATATATTCATACATATGTATAAATATACAAACATACAAATACAGGCCTATGATAATTATAATTATATTTACCGAAATATTGTAGGTGTTAAAATCCGAAATGACTTTTATCATGTGTGGTGCACTCACTTCAAAAAGCGAACTAGTGTCCAAGGAGTTGGCAGTCAGATCATGAATGGCAGCTTGGAAAATAGCTGAATTTGAAAAAAAAGATGAAAAAGTCACTTATTGTTACACAGGAGTAACCCGGTTTAGCCGACGCACTGCTTGCAAATGTGCATCACACTGCATTGGAGTTGAAGGAGCGAGAGAGGGGGCGGTGGGGTGCCGGAGACGCGAAAAGATACGAACTGGATCGGTAGTTTCCGAGGAGTGGACCCCTCTCACTCGTCCCCCACCCGATTGGAACTGCATCCCCCACCTGGGAATGCACTGGAAGTGCATTGTGCTTGTGCGTCCCCTCCTTGCAGGGAAAATCTGCTCCCCCCCTTCATCCGAGGCTACCCCTCGCCACAGCAGCGCTGCTTCTTGGCCACTGCCGAAAAACCCATCCGGGTCATTGCCGGGCACATCTATGCACGGGATAATGCACTTTTCCCAGCTGCAACTGGGTCACCCCCTCTCTTTCTTCTAGGAGCGATCCTCCCCGTTCTTCCTGCCCTTGGCATGCATTAACTGTGGCCGACCGGGTTTTCCAATCTCCCCCCTATCGAATGGGGGAAAAATCGGCTTTTTCGCCCTTTCGGCCATCCCCTTTTTTGACACGGGCCGAATTACGACCTATTGAACCTTACTGAAAAATACTGACACCTTTCTCGAAGAAGAACTCGATTTGAGGTCGAGGTCAAGTGCACAAAAGTGCTCAAGGTAAATAGAAACTATTATTTTCATTCCAATTATAGGAATATCCTATAGAGAGACAAACTTCGTCTATTACACCTCGGGTCATTCACTCTCTCAAGAGCCCAAATCATTGAGTTGTCGACTGGTTCGGATCCCCGGGCTCTCATACGGTATGCTCGCCACGCCTGGAAGTATAGATTCCATTTAGCCCAGGAATTTAATTTTTAATTTCACACCTTTCCTTCATCAAATACCATAACCATAAAAAGTTAATGATCTGGACGGAAAACTCATATTTTTCTATGTATTTATTTCTATTCTTTACATGTCCTACAATCGATGCATGTATATCTAGAGTTTTATTTTAATTTTCAATTTCTAATTGTGTTTGACAATTTGCAACTATCTCTGACGACAGCGGATTTAATTCCATGTTATATCTATTTTATATTATATGTTTCATGTATATTTATGTATTTCATGACTTGCACAAAATAGTAAAATAAAGTATTTCGATCTATCTATCTATAGAGAGACAAACTAGGTGAATTGCAAAATAAATAAATACGTTTGTACAAGCACGGATATCTTAACTGCGAAAAATCTAAACATTTAACTGAGAAATTTCATTGCTTGCTCTTCTTAGAATTTTCATTGTGGTCACGAAAACATTCGATTAAGCCATTGGCATAGAATTCATACGTTTCCTTGGCATTCGCGGACAGGATGAAGTAAACGTGAAAGAAGATGTCCATGCTCGAGGGAGACCCCTGCAATCTTTTTTTCTCGACCGCCACGTTTCGGTTGACTATTGGTATCGTTGAGTAAAACTATAAATCCACGCGATTGATGTTTTTAACGGAAACCGACCAAAAGAAATGAAGGTGTCACGTAATCCAAACATTTCGGGTGATTCCGGCAACAAGTGTCCTATTACGAAGACAATGTTGAAAACGATTAGGTAAAATGTTATTTTCTTAAACGACCTCTTCCTCTCGCGAAGAAGGTTCGTGGGTTTTGTTTTTTAACAACCGACGGTAATTTGATATCTGGATTATACAACACGAATTATTGGCTTCGACAATTATTGACACGTTGTAATTTCTTAATATTGAAATCTCAATGATCCTTTGAAATCTATTAAATTACATATGCATTGTAAATCTTGTTATATGGTGTTTTTAATTATCCAAATTAAAAAAGTCAAGAAAAAGATTTTCTCTTCAATGCGATTTTATTCAACTTAATGGGTTATGTTAGGAGCAACAAAAGTTCATGTTTATCAAATCCTAGTAAATTAAAAAAAAGTGAAATGCTAAGGATTAAAAAAAAAACCTTCCACCAATTTCCCTCAACAATATATCTATTCCCCCCGCCAAACCATCTGCGTTTAAAACTTGTACCTACTCACTCAAGAGTGATCTATAAAATGATCAAACGGTTCATCAACTATACAGTCGTTCTAAAGCAACGTTACAGAAAAAAAAACTTTATACAACAATATTTGCACTATGGACTTAAGAACAAAAACGAAAATAAATTTTATTTTGGGGCTTTCGGCCCCCTTGAATAACAAAATGAATATATAAATAATGATTTAAAAGTAATAACATAAAGGTAAATGAAACGTGCCGACTAAATTAAATAAGAAGGGAAAAATTAACAGAAAATTAACCATCCTCGGTTAATGATTTGCGCTACGACATGCTAACATTAACATATATCAATGTTAACGACTTATGCGCTAGAACTATACGGGATAGCATTCAAAAATTTACACCGACCTAAACATCTCATATGTACTTGAACATTGTCAAATCCCGATACTTCAAATTCCATTCAAAATTATCTTCTAACTTATCCGATAATACATAACTTATCTCATCTTAAACTTCTTAGCACTCCTGCCAACATTTCCTTACTATTTACACTGAAACATATAAAATTAAATCCATTATCTTTCTACATTAGTTATAGGTAATTAGGAACTATCATAGTCAAAATAAACAGTAAATAATGCTTTGTTTACTTTTGTACTGATCAACCCAATTTTCATAAAAAGTATTCAATTCTGCTACGCCTAAAGACCTCTTTCATTTAATCTTTTTCCTTCGGTCATTTATTTCATTTGATATTATTCCTATTCTTAAACCTTTTTCAATGGCTCCAGACAGGCATATGAGTGAGTATGACAGTGTCAGAGTCATAACATTATTAGCGGAACGATACAGCCAACGTGAATACGTCAGGAGACTGAGTGTAAATCACTTTCCAATAGGAAGGGTTCTTCAGCACTTTTGATAACCAGGGCTTCACACTAAAAGGCAAGGATGGGGTCGATCTAGGTCTACGACGAAAGAGGCGATAGATTCATCAGTTCATTAATCAGGCTCTTTGAAACCATAGCATTACGGGAATTGAGATAAGAAATCTGATAAGACAAGTCCGAAATATTTTGATTTCCTCCTAAGAAGTAGGCTCAATGAAAATAATCTCAGAGCCCGACACCCGTCTCGTGGACCTCTTCTTACCACAGCTTAGAAAATGGCCAGGCTTCAATTCGCACGGGAACATGTGAATTGGACATTTGGAAGATTGGGGACGAGTTCACTTTACAGATTAGGTGAGAGTTGGCCTCAAATTTATAGATCGGCATAATTTCATATGAAGACGCTCAGGAGAAAGGTACGCCCCCATGCTGTATGGTTCCTCAGGTGGCATTCCACGGTGGGTAACTGATGTTCTAGGGTGGCATTTCCTTGATCGCTCACACCAAAAATGTGCGACGATGATCTCTTACTTTACAGATGTACGTCGTGGTATGTAGGTGAGTAGGTGTGGCCATTTCGTCCAGATTTGAACCTAATAACAACATAAGCGAGGAATACTATTGCGAAATCCAGGTCCTAACACCCAAGAAAAGTTGAAAACAGCTGTTCTTGTTGAATAGGAAAGAATTCCTCAAGATTTTTATCAGAAATCTTTTCCAAGGAATGCAAAGACGTTTAACGGACGTACCAGTGGTGGAAATACTCTGTATTAAAGGGGAAATTTTTTTTATAATTTTGTTTTGAATTTTTGTTTTTTATTCAATAATTTTTTTAAAAGAATTAGGTAAAACCATTTTCTTTTTGAATGCCGTAATTTTACAAAATAAACCTAAATACATTAAAATTTAGGGGTGGTGCGTTTATTTTGTATATCAGTCTATTTTGTGTACAGTTGCAGATATAAAATTAAAAAGAGAGAAAAAGTAAAAAGAAATAAAAATCTATCTGATCCGATATGTAGATTTTATGCATTGATTAAAAAAATGTGAATAGTGTAGTGTTTTGTAGTGTTTCTTCTCCGTATGTTAATAACGAAAAAATGTAATGATAATAATATACATACATGCAATAACTAATTTTGTTTATGCAATACAAAATAATATTCAAAAGAAGCAGTGTACATTTATTATTGTTCTTCTGTACCGTCGAGAATAGACGTTCTAGACAGTTTGCACTTTTAAGTATAAACCGATGAGTTTTAAGAAACTCTCTGAAACATTTGTTGATAAAAGCATATTATTACATTTTTCAATTTACAATTTTAATTTTATTGTTTTAAATGTTGGATTTTTATATATATCTTTGGAATAGTCCTAATGGGAAATCAATAAGAAAATAGAAATGGTATGTTATATTTGCAGATAAAACAGTGATTAAACTACGTTAAATAATTAACCCATCGATAAAATAGTGTTATTTCTTTAGTTATACGATTTAATTCTTCCTCAATCTAAATACTAGATTTCTAATTGGTTCAGCCAAAATATGAATTAATCATTTTTATAATGCGACATTGATTACGCTGTTGGAAATAGGTATCGTTGTAAGACTTTTCACTGTTATTTATAAATCAGTCAAAATGAAAACAATTTTACAAAACAAATTTACTGCAAATTAAATGTTCCATGGATTTAAGTTACAACATTCGAAAATCATGACAATAACGTTAATATTTCTTGTGGGTTAAATGGTTATTGACGACAAATTCTTTAAATCGTCATGGTATGTAATGATCTCGGCTTTTTCATTCGCGAAAGTTGGGTGCGGAGTGGATTAAATTACCGAGGAAACTGTATTCACCTTTTCCACGACAAAAATATTTTTGTGTTCTGCCTTTTCTCAAATTTTACGACTGCCAGGGATTGGGCGAAACTTGATAAAAAGCCGGACTCGAGCACTGAACAACCGGATTTTGAAGGGCTCGCCGACTTCCGGCCTATCTTTTCTGACGTACTTAAAAGCATTGATCGAGGCACTAGGTTTTCGTCTTAGTCTAAGACAGTTAAACGTTGGCCATTACCGAAACTGTGTACCTCCTAATAACATGTGGTGTGTTCTTCGCAGAAATATGCGATTTAGTACGTGCTAAGTTTTCTCGAGCCGGATCTTCTACCTCGTCTGCACCTGAGAGCGTTCTCAGCTGTACAAGGTTTTTGATGTACTCTCTTGACGATTTGGGGCGTCTCAGCAAAATGTCAGAAGTTGTCTGCGTTACCGGACGAATTGGTCTGATGAGGAACGAAAAGGAACGGGGACAGCGAAAGCCGACCCGTTCAAACCACCTAACCACCACGTTCCAGCCCACTGACTGTAGAAGAACAACTTAAAATATGATGAAAGGGCGTCTAGGAACTGTGAAGGTAAAGAGGAATTGTTCAAATGATTCAATATAGACTATATATGGTTGAAGTACTCTACTCAGTCTTCACAGAGAAACGAAAAGAAAAACATCTATCATGTCAGATAGCGAGCAGCTGTTTGCAGATGGTCCTGAATTGCAAGAACAAATTACATAAGTCGGGCATGAAAAACAGTCACTCTCTATTAAGCCACCGGACGTGCAGGAGGGAAACAAAATATCAAATGCCATTGCCTGACTGGACATCTTCTGTTGGACAGGAATCTTACTAGAGTTAAGCTATTATACTGCACATATGTAATTATGAATGATATGAATGAATCATTTTTATTTAGTGAAATGATTATAAATACAAATTAACTTTTCATGTGCATTACTAGGGGGCATACCGAAATGTTGCTACTTCTTATTAATAGAGCAATGGCTCGCATTTAGATTACTTTACTTTTCAAACAGCGGTGGTTCTATTTTCATCCAATACGGTTTCTATCTGGCTCGGCCATTTTTAAAACGGTTCACCGACTTGTGGGCTCTTTGTTGACAAACAAGCACGACGCCTGAGGAAAATGAATCACCGACAGGGAAACCACTAACTTTCCCGGTTTATCTATAGCAATAAATTTGAAAGAAGAAACTGACTTTTGACATTTTTCCTATGGGTGAGTCTTTGAAGAATTTCCCTATTATATTAAAGTATAAAATGGGCTGATCTTCTTCAATGCTGTTCAACTGTTTTGTTTTGTAAATTTACTTGGATTGGGTTAATGTAGCGAATCCTAATGACTTTTCCATCTTTAAAAACACCGTCTTCGTTTCGCCACTTTTCACAAACGCATTTATCTTTTCAGATATTAAATGATTGTTTATCTAAGATTTAGTACTGCCAAGTTAGGTTAGCAGTTAGGCGTATTATATACCACTACAAGGATGCTTATAAAAAATTCCTTCTAAAAAAAGTTGTTACATTCTCCATTGTCTATTTATGTCAACTTGTTATAAATCTTCCCTCGTCGAATTGATAACGCACATTATCAATGTTCCAACATTTTATCTCTCTAGTTTGTTATCGCCAGTTTCGCTTCGCGTTATCGTGCATTGGTATAATTTTGACGAATGTAGACGGATAGAGTCCTGGAATTACCAATCTGCACTTGCTAGATTTCCAACAAACTTATTTGTAAAAATTTCTTCATATGGTCGTCGTGGTGACGAACCTGTACGTTGGTTGTTGACGATGGTGTATTTCCGTTTCCCTACATTCGCCGCTTTGGTCTGTAAGACATGTGTTCCGGCATTTCGCCAACTTCACTTTTCATCATTGATTCACCAATAGGTCTCCTGGAAGGTGGTGAAATGCCGAAAATAAGCGGCCAAATTATAAGCTTAATTTTGTAATTACCACCTAAAAATTCTATATTTCATCACAAGCGTTGCGGTCACGCCATAAATAAGAACATCTCAAATAGGTAATAAGTGGAAAATAAAACGTGCTGAGCGGATATAGGAACGTCTCCTCAATCAACTATTCTCCTTTATGAAAAACCTTTGTTATTTATAATCTGTTATTTTACGAAAATGCAGTAAAACTCAAATATTTGGGATTATTTAAACACTTTCTGGATAGTGAAACAAGTTTAATCGACAGTCCAATGTCCAAGGTGAAAGGCATGCATAGTTGGCAGACTCAATACGGTGAGTGTAGTAAGGGGTTGCTATATAAACTAAGTTTCCTGCCATTTCGACAACACCCTAGTTTTCAACGATCGCTCTTAAAAAAGCATCATGCAGGATAATGGTGAGGTTTAGATCCAACTGCGGTGTGTGCAAATATTACTTTAAAAAAGATAAATCAAGTACAAGACGAAAAGTACACATATAGTAGCATAGAAACATTGAAAACATAATCATAATGTGTCCACCCTGCAAAGAAAAACGTAAGAAGATGCTGAGTTATATTAAAAACTTAATGGGAAATATGGTAGGATATTCAAATATAAGTCCTGTTCTAGCGAGTCTGGAATAGAGGACTTCTTGAATAATATAAACAAAATAGTATAATTATATTAAAATAAGGGTTGTAATAATAGGAGGTTAATAATAGTTGTAATTATTGTATTAATTAATTAATTTATTTGTTATTGTTGTTTTTTATTTATTAGTTTGAACACATTTTACATTAATATATGATGTTGCAAGTGGCTTTGGCGACCAGCTGATAAAAAAACACGACAGTCTTAAAGCAATCAAGGAATCATCGAATCTAACGCGAGCCATTTCAACCATCTGAAATAGGATTCAATGGAGGAAAGGGCATGGGACTTGGGCATGTCCTAGCGAAGCTTCTTATACAATTAGTTACTCTACAAAATCAATTCAACTTTTTAAGTTATTATGTTTGCTTATGTTATTTGTTTGTTAAGCTGCGCACTATTCAAATAAAGCTGAAATAACTTATTCTTTTTTTAAAATTAAATTGATTTAATTTACATTATCAATAATATAATAAAGAGTAACATTAAATATACAAAGCTCTATATATCATTACACAATATAAAAGTGTATTTACTCTGCCAGTGACAAGCGACCTACTGACAAGAAGACATTCAAGGCAAGACAACAACATTCAAATAAATAACTGATGTTGCAGAGTTTTATTTTCTATCTGAATTTATCAAATGTTTCAAAATAATTAGATATGAGAAAGCAGTGTGAGACTCACTAATTTAAAAAGTCTAATGAATATATAGATTTTATTATTAATTTATTATTATAATTTATACAATTATAAGTATATAAATTTATATAATGATATAAAAGGCAGCTGTGTTTTAAAAGAGAAGGAAAAATAAGGAAATTTTTTTATAAGTACAGAAAAGAGCATTTACAAGAAATGGACGAAAACATAAGGTAAATTTAAGTAAAAATAAGAAAATTAAATGTTCCTTCTTATGCCATTCCTTCTTATTTTCCTTCCTTATAGGTTCACACACCTAAAGACAAAAACTTGATACTCGTATTTTGTCTTGATCTTACATATGTATTTTTATTGTTGTATTAATTACATTATACTTATTTTAATGTAAACCAAATTAAAATTTCATGAGTTTTAATCAGAATAATTTAATTCTGATGGTTTTCATTTAGTTATAGATTAAAATTTAACTAACAATTTATTACATCTTAATGCATTATTACATATAAAACTATTATGTGTAATGGGTAGAGGCACGTCACCGTGTTATATAATTTTTCATCTGCAGTTTGGGATTGGCGATTCTCGTGTCTAGAAGGCTTGAATAGATGATTTTTCTCAAGGTTGACGTCATTTTCTATTGGCCTGCCAAGGACGTTTCATCTAGCCCTAGGACAGCTTTAGAGGGGCCACGAGGCTTTTAGGAGAGGTGAAAAGCAGAAATTATTTCAGATCCGTTCCTGCAAGAACTGGAAGCTTTTTTAGTAGTAATTTTAATTTTTCCTAGTTCCTTTACCGATTTGGATAGAGAATTGTTCAAATTTCTCTCTGCTTGTTAAAATGTCATTACAATTTTGACATTTCATGTGATTTTACCGTTTCACCACTGGTTTTCTAAACAAAAGTAAAATCTAATATAATATAAAAAGTAATCTGTTTCTCGCTTAAAATGTCATTTGCACAATTACAAAACATTGAATTATCGCAGTAAACAGCAAATCTTAAATGAGAAAACACGTACTTACAGTTTCTAGTCCAGTCGGTCTAGTCTTAGTATATCTATGTAGTGTAATTTTAGTATAGTAATAATAAGAGTTTACAACAGATGGATTGAATATACATGTCGTTTTTATGCTTTTGCCATCACAAAAGGATTCATTTTCGTCTAAATAAAAGCAGTTTTTATTCCATTTTATATACAAGAGATTTATATCAGATATTACAATCAATTCTATTTACTTTTGCCCAAAATCAAAAGCTCTTCAAACGTAAGCTTAAATGAGCACTGTTTAATAATAAGAATGTATTAATAAAAAGATTATCATTTTTGTACTTATTAAAGATTGACATAGAAAATTTTTTTACGTTTGTAATAAACTTGCACTGCGGGCGTTTTATTGTGTCATGGCGCTGTTTTAGTCGACTTTTTTAAAATTAATTATTTTTTCGATACGTATAAAGTACATATAAATTGGAATTGAATTAATAAATTTCTTGAAAAATTATGTTCCAAAACCTAAAGTATTTTAAATACGATATGATCCCTCATTAGAAAACGTCGTTGAGTTAAATTAGTTAACGACGTCTTACTAATTTATTTCATGAGAAATGTTACTTCTTTTGAAATTCAATCCAACCTTTAGATCCAAGATAATATAAAAATTAACGAAGATCAATCGGAAGAATTTATTATGAGTGAGAAAAGGAAAGACAATATCTTCAAAGGTTTGTTTTCTATTACAGCGGTTTAAAACAAATATAAAAAAAAGGATATTATAGTTTTTGTACATGTAATGATTTTTAATTTATCGATAATAAGTAATAATTCACTTATTTAATAATTTATTTGTTTAAAGAAGATAATATAATTTTTAAGTCGATTAGTGTGACACATAAATTTGCACTGTAAAAATAGAGTATGAAGTTTAAACAGTTTTAATTTTCCCAGTATTGATTTTTTGATACGGGTTTGCCCATTTACAAGAAGCCAAGTTGAAAACTCATTAGAGTCGTATTGCAATTTTGTTTTAAACATTTCTTTCTTAAGTGGTCGATTTAAATTTCAATCCAAATAGACTGCAGAGAAAAACAATCTCTCATAGAAATAAAATATAGATGACCTCTCATAGCAGCAGAATTGGAAAGCCAGCGACCATGAATAGGCCAACCTTGATATTTGAGACTGCAGGTTAGGAAATGGAGGCGCGCAGAGGGATAAACAAAAAACAATATTTGCAAGTTTGTTCAAATAAACATATCGTTTGTAAGTTTACAAAATACATATGTCTCCTTCTTTGTAAAATTTATTGTGTGTACATTGTAAAAATCAAAATAAAAGTTAAAATACCAACATTATTCATTTTATAAGAAAGCAAAGTATTATTATTAACAATATCGTAAATTGGTTCAAATATTCCAGTTATTCCTTTACAATCCCCAGGTTGACAAAATCAAATAAATGAAAGAAAATAGAAGATTTAAGCTAAATTATGAATTTTACATATGTTGTATGCATGTTCGGTAATATTTAGTATATATATATGCATCTAGCGTTACTACACTCGCTATGTGAGCCAATACAAAAAGAAATTTAGAAAAACAGAGATATGAAATAGTTTGAAAACGAAACAAATGTTCCTGTTAAATATAGCATGTATTCATCACCATTTACTTTCTTTTTTACAGTATTAAGTAAGTAAGTGTATAGTCTAGCTTTGTCCTATATATATACTCTGCACAAATACTTTGTAGATGATAAAATACTAGACATTGCTGCCATCAATTGTTACATTTTCGTTTGATATATGTATTACTTAAAATTATGTAGGTCATGCTTTGGTCGTTGTCAAAAATTAATAGGTAGACTCGATTGTAGAGTTAGCTCAAGGTTTCACACCATGTATAGTTAATTAAAAGCCATTGTCCCGCCGTGAGGTGTCAAGTCTGCGGTGGGGTGTTGATTCCAGGAAAAATGAATGATACATAATTAGTAATATTACTTCGTTAAATATATGTAGTCAAATAGTCTTCTCATAGGTTACATTACACACTAAAAATTTACCCTATGTTATTCCTTTGAGTGATAATTAGCAGCTAAATTATGCTTGTTTCTAGATTTTTTTATTTTTCTAACTTTTCTTTTATTTCATGGCTACTTTGAATGTAATATTGACGGCGAGGTATGTGGTTTTCTGATATAACTTAAGTTTAATTTTATTTTGTTGGATAACAACAGACTGAAGATTGTTGAAACTAACTGCATTTCCGGCCAACTTGAGTTCAAGGCAGCGACCTCTTTAAAAACCGTAAATTAACCCAACACGAGTTCTTTTTAAGTACAATCAGCTTAACTCGAACATGTACGCTATTTATTCACTCCATTAGGCACACTATGTACAATGTTCGACTAAATAAAAAAAAACTCCATTTGTTTAGTAACATTATACACATTACGCTATACGACGATTGTATGAGTAAGGAACTCAAAGTATAATGTGTGATATAACAGGAGAGTTAAACCTAAACGCGTTTGCATGAACCGCGAGAGAGTAGACACACCATTAGAGTTATCAAGTGCCTTCAATTTAACATTTTTTATAATGTTTACATGTATTGAATAAATGCTAAGACATCGAATGGGTCATAGTTTTTAAATTTATAAACTACATAATTCTAACACCCATTCAGAAGTGATTGGAACGCTTACGACGGAATGACAACTGACTTTAGGCCTCGGACCAAATCCAGAGTGAGTTACTTATATAATTTTCGGTGAACCAGTTGATTCAACTACGGCCAATCAAGTAGACATATTGTGGTGTGTTGTGTGCAAGACCAGTAAACAAAATTTGGCTAAAGACAGCAATGAAAAGCATTAAAATTATTTACTTGTGCCTCGCTATCTGAAATCTTTGTACACAGCTTGGGTTGAAATAATGAAAATGGGCATTTGAACCATGCTCGATCCAGAAAAAAAGACTTAAAAATAATCACGATTCTAACCTACCCCAATCGGCATGTAACGGTCTAATTAAATTTACGATGACGAGCAAGGTGTAATTAATAATTGTTATTTTATAGTATATCGGCACGGCGAAAGAGGGCGAGGTATAAAGCAATTTTTGGAGGTCTTGAAGGTTTTGCATAGGTGGTCCTAATACGGCGCTGCCCTCACAACAATTCCAGTCGTTTCTTGCCGTTGCCATTTGTATTAAGTAACTCCTATCAATGAAAGAATAAAGATATTCATATCTAATATCACAATGTAGGACGACATTGTCGACATTAATTTAGATAAAAAGGTTTTAATAGAAAATAAAAGAATTCCTCTATCAAAACATTGAGCTCATTTTGATCTGCCCAATTTAAATTCGGAACTGCACACCAGCCAGTTTACGACCATTCAGTATCTCTACCACCGTTCGAGTTCTTCCTCCTATTGAATATAAACTTTTTTTGTAAATGATCCGAATTTTCAACTATCTCCTAGTTTCCCTGAATCAATTGTACTCGCATGTTGCAAACAGCGTTAAACAGCTAACAACTGCTATGGTAAGGTATTACAACAAACGTTTATCTAAATTATGACATTAGCATATTATTCAGTAATTAGTTAGGCTTTAATTTGCGCGAGATAAATCGGGTAAAGTAAAGAAAAAGTTAAAAAGTCAACCTTTGCAGAGATATCATTTAAATGATTGACTATCAGTGTACGGAGTTGTATTATTGCTACTGTAATAATAATAATAATAATTGTTATTTATAACGGTAATAAATGATTTTTCAGAAGGGTTAAACATTTTTCCAAAATAAAATCAACAGGTCTATAACAAGAAATTTGTCTTGTAAAGAACTCTTACATTATAAAGTATATGTATTTACTATTTATTGTTTATTTTTCTACTATGGCCGTAATTCTGTTTAACGAAGATTATTAAGATTTCAGCCTGAAATGCTTTTTTGATCAATTTATTTAAGTTGTATTTGTTTTGATGATAGAAATGAACAAGTGAAACCGATTAAAACGGTGTAAGCGATTTGTCAACAACATTCTTTTGATAGTTCACTGTTGAGCTTTATCTAGGAATTGTTTATAACTGAGACTTTTGGGAAAGCGACGCAAGCGTTTTGCATGTGCCCGACTTATCTACAAATCTTATCCTAATAGGAAGTTATGTGCAGTGTGTTAAAATCATATTCGGTACCTTCTATTTAGAACTATCCAGTTTCTTTGTGTTTCGGTAATATGCCAAGATCATAAAAGATGTTTGCAATGATAAAAAAATACATATTACAGACGTTTTCATAGTAAATTACAAAATCACACCAACACACAAATACAATTACTCCATTCCCCACAATTACCACGTAAACGTCTGAAAAGAATATGGATAAGAGACCTCTTAAATGATTAATATAATTTCATTAATCCAGAGCGGCTGCCAATGGGTAGCTTTCTCTATAACGCCCATAATGCCAAACACACAGTCTGAAATCCAATCTGCTGGTTGTATATCATGCATGTACAGTTGTAGATATAAATAAATGAAGTAAAAAAAAAAAAAAAAAAAAGTTTCAAATAAAATGCAGCACATGTTTTGGACGAGATGTGTAGCACCAGTCTTGTCTGAAGCAAGATGACCTTGCAAATTATTGATTATTTTTACTGGTTGGTAAAATATTGGTTGAATGAGTAAATTGCTAATGGTATTGTAAATATGCGAGAATATGTATATATATATATATATATATGAATGTATAATGTATTTTACAACAATCGAAAGTTATAACAAAAGCACAAAGACAAGCAACCTAAAAAATAAGCTGTTACAGTGTCCTAAGGGACAGCAATTAACTGAAATAATATAACCGTATTATTATTAGTTCCCAGAATGATTACATTTTAGCATATTTATTTATATATGTAATTTCTTCATGTATCATTTTAAACACGTGATAGTTTTTGTTTTTATAGTTGTTTTGTTTTTCAGAGAACATGTGAACGATATCCTACATTGAATTTTTTAATTTTCAGAAAAAATACATTCATTTCCGGGCAGTAGGTCTATTATCATTGAGCCCGAAGTCGTCAGATGTAGCGCACAAAATGTTCCCAACCCCGATACACATAAGTGTTAATAAACTTTCATTCTAGGTCAGGTGTCCGACGTCCCGATTCGTAGCTGACTCTGTCAAATCGGAATTTTGCCCGATTTCGGAAAAATAATCGAAGAAAACTTTGATAAATAAGAGAGAGAGAGAGGTTAAAACGAGAAACGATGAGTTGCATAACGTAAGATTATTTTGAGCAAACAGCTCCGAAGGACGAAACTCAGGAAGTAGGTTACAATTTTGTATCTCTTTTTACCATAAACTCAGACGGAATCAAATAGTGTTTTTATATTCTATCAAATATATGTTGTGATAGAATGGAAACTAATTAATATTACGAAAGTTCGAGCAAACGTACTTAAGAAACTGGCAATAGACAATCGTTGGGTTTTCTTCTGGCCAGGTTATGACTCGTTTATTCTTCCATTTTACTTTCAACTCTTTTATTATTAATATTTTTAATACTATTTGTAAATTTCTTGCATTATTTAAACGACTAGATTTTTTAATATTTTCTCTTGGCTTAATTTTTTTGGGTGTTATGCGATTATGAAGCGATGGATAATTTTTGGTCACGTTCAGACAGGAGAGAAACATGCCGTATTGAAAAGTGATCCCCGACATTCACTACCATCAGCTACATCTCG